CCCTCGCGGTCCCCCAGGCTCCCTCCGCACCGCTCCGCCACCACCTATCGACCTCCCGCGTCTCCCCCCAGAAGAAGAGGCACTAACCGGCCCCTCCTACCGTCGCCTGCCCCCTTCCGAAGCCCGCCTCGCCACGTCCGGCCGCGACGCCCTCGCCCGCTCCGTGCTCAACGACCTCGTATGCTCGCACCCGACCTGGCAGAGCGAAGAAACGGCCTTCGGCGCGCACAAGCGCAACGCGTACGAGGAGCAGATGCACCGATGCGAAGACGAGCGACACGAGTTTGCCATCGTGCGCGAGGGGTTGAGCAGGACCATCGCGGTCCTCGAACCCCTCGCGTTACGGCTCGAAGCCATGGCGCCCGAAACGCGCGCCGCGCACCGTCTCCGGCCCGATCTCGGCGGCCCCAGCCCGCGCATCTACGAGCGCACGCTCAAAAAGATCTACGGGCGCGACGTCGGCTCGCAGGTCCTGCAAGAGCTCCAAGACGCGCCGGGCGCCGCCGTGCCCGTCGTCCTGTCGCGCTTGAAGATCAAAGACGCGGAGTGGAGAAAGGCGCAGAGGGAGTGGGAGCCGACGTGGCGCGCGGTCGATTCGAGGAACTTTTATAAGAGCCTCGATACGGCCGGTCTGAGCTTCAAGGCGAACGATAAGAAGGGGATCACGGCCAAGGCGTTTGTCGCGGAGATCGAGGGCGCGCGGAGGGCCGCGCTCGATGAGGCCATCGGAGGTGGCGCGGGTGGGGCGGCGAAGAAGGGCAAGGGGAAGGAGAGACAGTACCCGATTCAGCTCGAGTTTGGCGATCAGGGTGTGCTGCGCGACGCGCTGCGTCTCGTCGGCGCGTTCCTCGAACACGCACAGGGCGCATACTCGCCGCACGAGCGCCGCGCGCTCGAACGCTTCCTCCGGACGTTCACGTCTACGCTTCTCCCCGCCGCCCCCGGCGAGCTCGAGACGAACGGCCACGCGCATGCGAATGGATATGCGCGGGACGACGAGGAGAGCGATAGCGACGAGGAGATCGATTTTGAGGAGGAGATGGTGAGGGAGTGGATCAGGGAGAGCGTGCCGGCGGGCATGAAGCCGCTGAGGGACGCGCCTGTGAGGGCGCGGCCGTTCTTTGCGAATACGACGTTTTATACGTTGTTGAGGCTGTTACACGTGCGTTCACTCTCGGTTTTCTTTGAATGTTAGGATACTGATCATGGTATACAGCTACTCTACTCCCGCCTCCTACTCGCCAAATCCGCCGGCGCAGCCCACGCCTCCGAGCGCTTCGTCTCCCTCTTAGCAAACCCCACCGCCGTCGCCCTCGGCCTCGACGACGCCCAAGGCGCGGCCGCAACGCTCCGCGGCGTGCTCATGCTCTACTCGAACCCGCACGCGCCGGCGCAGAATCCGCTGTACACCTACATCCTCGCGGCCGCTGCGAAGGTCTTCGAGGGCGAACTCGAACAGGCTGTGTTTGAGGAGCATGCAAGGTGGTTCGTGGGGCCTAGAGCGCACGTGCTGTTCACGCTCGACAAGCTCTGCGCGGCGCTGGCCAAACAGGCTCAAGCAGCCCTAGCCGACTCCCGCGCACGCGAGCTGTGGACACTATTCCGCCACCCGACCAACGCAGCGGAGAGCCGAACGCGCGCGGGGCTGATGCGGTACAGACGCGCCGCTGATAGACGGTTGGGTCAAGACGAGAACTTGTTCAGGGCGGAGTGGGAGGGCGAGGAGAGGCGGTTGAGGGTCGAGATTGTTGGCGGTGATGATCCGAGTGTGGGTGGGGGGAGCGAGGTGGAGAGGTGGAGGGAGTATGTGGATTCGTATGTTCTCGAGAGTCCGACGGAGTGGCTTGTCACTCCTGCACCCTCAACGGCGATGACGGGGAGGAGGCCGCCGGTGTTCTTGAAGCGGACGAGAGAGGTCAACGAGGAGATGGGCGCTGCGCCGGTCGTTCAGAGTCCGGCGAAGAGAGTGGACGGGGAGTTGGCCGTACGCGTCAGTCTGGGGACGTATGCGCTGTTCTACGAGGCTGGTAGCGAGGAGTGTTGGGTGAGAGGTCAGAGTGATGATGAGCGCGCTAAAGCGGCTGCACGGGAGGAGGAGAGGAGAAGGGTTATGAGTGCGCGTTGGGGACGGACTTGATACCTTGATGTTTGTGTTTACGGTTCGGTCTCTATGATTTCTTGTTTTGTTACGCGCCCCATATTTCTAGGCTCATTCGCGTGTCTTGATTCTTGTCATCTGCTTGTGTATGATGTACGGTACATAGGACTCCTCTTGAGATGCGCATGTATGCATCGTGCTAATATATATTTCCCTCTGTTCTTAGCCTGACGACTTCGACCCGACCGGTCTGACCGCCCAGGACTGAGATGCCCGACGACCGCGCGAGGGATATGGTACGCTCGTCAGCTGTCTTTACATCTACAGAGTCCAGACGGTGTCTGTCCAGCAAGACGGGCTCAGGTGGTGACTGGCTAACGGTAAACGAAGGCCCGACAAGTGCCGATATGAAAATGGGCGAGAGGCGGCAGTATCCCACGCTCGGGATGCGCCCGACCGATCTGACCCCCGCACTCTCATGCGTAGTCTAAGTACCGGTACCTATGTGTTGAGCCACACGTGAAAACGAGTCGACGTGCCAATCGGTCACAGTTGTAGGAGAAGGTAGAGAGGCTTTACCGCCGGCATCTCATTCATCTCGCTCGGTGTCTTCTCAACCGGCAACCGGCGACCACTGACTGGTAGCCAGGGCCAAAAGAGCTCTTCCAAAGCACCTCTAAGGTACCAGCTCCTTATGACTTCCAACCAAGGACCATACCACGAGCCACAACAACGGACCTTCGCACGAAAAGACTGGATCGCGCACACGCATCCTGGGCCATTCACAGCCCGAGACAGCCGAGCCTGAGTAATGTCCAGTACACTCGAAGATAAGATGAATCCGATAAGATTGGAACGGGTACTACATCGGTCGGTCAGCATCTACATCGTCACAGGTGGCTGCATAAGCGCGATGAGTACCCACACTAAGGTGGAGTGTGCGAGGATGGCCATTATGCTAGAACTTCGGGGGAAGTGACAGTACGACGGGAGAGCAAAGGCGTCTTTGAAAGTGACGCTTCGAGTGCTGTGGTGGACTGCCAAGTCAGAGATCCGCCTTGGCGCATACAGGGAGGAAGGCGGGAGGAGTGTGCTCGCATCGTGCTCGCATAGTGCGGCGCCGGATCCATACGGACTACTCTTCCTATAGCCAGTCGACAGCTCTGCACAGAGTCGTGATTTGATGTCGTGTGCAGCACGTATAGAGATTCACGTCGGCGAGATCTTCCCGCGAGCTTCAACATGTGAACTCCCTCGTGCAAGGTCGGACCGCCGGCATCGATGTAAAGTCAAAGAGCATATCATAGCTCGAATCATGCGGTACGGGCCGTCGCCACGCAGGTAGTAGCTGATTGACGTTGTAGGTAAAGAAGGGACAACCTGCAGCTGTAGGTAGATGGTTCTTTCCAAGGCGCTTCGCACCCTCTGCGCCCTGCGAATCAACTTCTCAAAGCTCCAACGCCTGTCATCCTTCGGGCCGACTGCCCGCCACCGCCGCCGTCCACCAAGAATAGAGCGTCCATTCATACATGCAACAAAGTTCGTAGAACAAGAAGAGGTTATAAGAATAGGACGTCCACGACGGACTCGGGCATAGGTGGCCGTGGTCCTGAGCGATAGATTGTGGTAGGTCCGAGGACCCGCGCCGAGGAAGATGCGGGCGGGGATTGCGGGGGTAGACCTCCCAGTCCCTGCATGGGCTACAGGACCACGACGTTCGATGGATGAACGCTTTCTCGGTTCACGTCCTCGTATCCTGGGCTTCCTGGAGCAATTGGGGCAAACTCTGTTTCGTGTTTCCACTGAATCGGATCCAGAGCTTGAAGCTTGAAAGCCGCAAGTTTTTGAGCGGTGCAGAACGTAGACCACCGTCAAACATGCTTCATCCGATAGAAAACCTTTGTGGCGTGTATCCCGAGGTACGCAGGTTCCCTCGCGACGTCGCGTAAAGCCTATACAAGCTCAGGTAAGCTTTTCGAGGGAACGGTATCCAATGCGTGCGTGGCAGCGTACGCGTGCGCCAGAGTCCGGCTATGCGGTACGTCTCGACGAGCCGGGTGCGCGTGGGTGGTACCACGCAGCGCTCCAGATACGCTGGTGTGGGAGATTGGGATTGGCAGAAGCTTGAGGTCCGTATCTTGTAGCGGGTATCATCGGTAGTGTCGAATTGCGGGTCATGCTTGCTCGAGGGTGAAGGACAAAAGGAGTATGTCGTTCGCAAGCTCGTTCGCGGAAGAAGATCTTCTTGAACGAGCATAACATGTAGACAGGCTGAGACCGTATGACGGAAATAGATAGCCTGATAGTACAGCAGGATGACTCCCGGTCCCTCGCGGAGTGTATCACTGCACTGAGTAAGACGGCATATCCATATCTCCCTCCAACTCGCGCCTAGCACCGTATCAGACGCGCGTACCACGCCACGCGCACTGGAAGTGGCGTCCTGGGAGGATGAAGTATTGATTATCGAGCCTCGAGCTCAGATAGCAGCATAGTACGGCGCATAGCCTGTGAATGGTCCAAGCGTGTACCGACTCTCGCGAGCCTAACGTCTGTACGCCAGACCGTGTAACGACATAGTGGACGCGCGGTGCGAAGGAGCGGTACCACGCCCAATGCCAGAAGCAGCTCCGTGAGACGGTGCGCAACCAATGCACCAAGTGTTGAAGGCTTGAATCGTTCAAGCGTGTTCTGCTCAGCCTCGGCCGCCCTGTGGTTCTATGATTTCGGCTCTCGTAGCCAGATCTCGACGGCTCTGGTAGATGTGCTGCCCAGTGCCCATGTCCCCGAGTGAACCCGCGTATTGAGTCCAAAGAGTAACGCGCAGGAAGCACAAGAGTATAGGCGCCCAATCGCTTGACCCGATCGTGACGTTTAGTTCCCGCGGTACGCACGCGCGACGCACGCACGCCGTTGCCCAATCCGGACAGGGCGCGCCACTCGCGGCGAGTCGTCCTGATCTGGTCAAGCAGGGACGAGCTCGGCTTCCTATAGGGCTTTATCACGTCGTCGACGCGAGAGACCGAGAGAAATGACCGGGAGAGTGTGAGATCGATCTCCTCGGGGATCCAGCCGTTTGATTGAGAATAGAGTTGAGAGAGATAGGTCGTAGGTCGCCGTAAGTACGAAGGGTCCACGTCAGAAAGGACCGGGGGTCGTTTCATTATGTCACGGCCACGCGAAGTAAGTACGAGGTGCCTTCGTTGGATGAGAAGGTTAGTGGAAGAGCAGACAAAGCTTGCAATTGGGGAACGCCGTTGATTGTATCATCTGATTTCCCCCCGAGAGCCGTCGAAGAGTCAGAGGCCCGGGAAGGTTCAGCGGAGAAGGCGAGATCGGCATAAGCGCGTGTGTTGCGTGCGTGGCGTGCGTACGGGCGCTTGAGATCGAATCGACAGGGCTCTTCGGAATACGCAAGGAGCGCGCGCTCGAGGACGGGGTGAGGTCATTCACACCTGCAGGGTTGGCGGCGAGGCTGCGAAGGCGTCGGCGCGTGAAGTAAGGAAAGAACACACAGCCTCGCACTGACAAGGATGTGTCGTATGCGCGTACGCGCGATCGTCACGCGCGTATAATCTTCTCGACATGGACCTGAGGACGGTGAACGGCGATCATGATTCCTGTCATGACGGCCCTGTTCGCGTTTAGAGTGGCCTTGTCGACGTCGGCGCGGGAACGTCGTTGAGTTGAAAGTCCGCCTACGCCGAGTGTGACAGGTGGTGGACTGGAAATAGTTGGTTGGGCCTTGAAGTATGTGCGCAGCGGCCGAGTAAGGTGTCTGATTAACTAGATTGAATGTGGCGAGGGCCGCGTTAGAGCCGTATAAGGGCGCGAGCGTTGCAGGTCTATTGATACGACTGGCGCGAGTATGGCGAACATGGGCGGCCAGCTGCGATACGTGTAGTGCTTTGTATCGTGGGAGGGCGACTTTGCTTAGAGAGAGACTGTCTTGGGTGAAGGTTTGCGACGGTGGAGTGGGTTCTAAGGTGTAAGACACACAGAGTCATACAGACAACGCAAAGTAACATAGGCTTTCGATCCTGCCTGTTGCCAGCGTCCGCTGTCGTGAGAGGGCGATCCCTAGCTCTCATCGAGCAGTACGGGAATAGGGTACATCCAACGTCTCATACGATCCTAGAATGGGTCGTCATCAATGGTGTTCCATTGGTCGGGGAAGCTTGAAAATGTCATTTTGTCAATGGTTTTGTAGACAGGACGACAGAGACGTACTCGCTCGGGCTTGACAAGGATGCGAACCGACTGTAAACAAGATTCAGTGGCGTCCAAAGCGCAGTAGGCGGAGATAGCTCACCTGTGGCGCCATCGTGTGCTCCGTACAGCGAGCATACTTTTCACTGTCGAATGATCACACGACGAGAGACGCTGGAGCCAAAAATACATCATCAATGAGCTGATCCATGGGAGATATGCACGACCTCACCGAGCGGTCCGCCGGTCGTACAGTATTCTTCAGCGTTAGGCGACCAGGCAAAGAGAGGTCCCATTCGGCAGGCCAATCGGCCCGTCGGACGCCAGTCTATTGAACAAGAAATGTTGGTCGAGTGGAGATCCCACCTCAGTACGTGAACATACTTAGTCCTGAACTCTGAATGATCTCACGACGACAGGGCGACGCTGAGCGTTCAAAAATACACGCGGGAGTCTATGAACGCCTGTTACGGTTGGAAGGACGAAACCGAGGCAGAAATAGCACTGTGTGGCCCATTCAATCCGTACGCGGGCGCCACGTCCATCGATCCGCCGCAAGATTATTGATAATCACAATCTGGTGCGGACGCGAGGCAGGTAGGACGTTCGCTCGATTTAGCCCGCAGGCGGCTCGCTCTCGGGCCGGGGATAGAGCAAAGGGAGGGTCGAGTGCGGTTTGCGGCTCGCGTCAGGATGAGATGGTAAAGTCCGAGAGAAGGCGAAAAGGCTGGTTCCCAGAGCCCGAGAATAGCACGGCGAGGGATACGAGCGGGACAGTGGCCGGGAGAACGGACGGGCGAGGGAGCGTGTACGCGGAATGTTCCAGGGTGAGAGAAGGCAGAAGGTGGAGATTGGGACCTTTGGGGTGTAAGTCTGGGTTGGATGGAGGTGAGATTGTGGCCTGGTGTCTAAAGCCGAGACGGGTGCAAGAATAACGGGGCATGGTAAAGGCATGGACAAGGACGGCTTGAGCGCCGGAACACGGGTAATTATAGCCACACTGGCTGGGGATACCTTTTCGCTGCGTCTCTTTGAGAGCTCGCTTGCAAGAAGAAGAAGAGTGAGAAGGCCGGGAATGTGGCTCTGGGGCTGTGCATTGGTCAAAGGCCGCAGGGGGAGGATGGAAGGAGCAGTCGAGCGAGAGTCGAGGACTTGTGTGGGCGTGGTGCCTAAAAATGGATATTGGCTTGCGGGTAATAACAGTGTGAGGTTTCGATCTCCCGTCAGCGTGTCCCACTCCCTTCCCTCCCATCTTCTCGTCCTCTTCCTCCTCCTCCTCTCAACCCTCTGGATAGTTGGGGGCGAACGGCGGACAGGAAATATATGCTGCGGGCGTAGGGAGCGTGTGTGTTGATTGGATAAGCACTCGCTTGTCTTGGCTCTGGGTTGATGATGGCCCCCCGGCTTGGCACACGCCAGCGACCACTCGAGCTGTTCGCTGCCCAGCTCGGCGTCCTCGGCACCACGGCAACGCCCACAGACTCGACCTTGGCATTCCTCTACCCGGGTCTCCTCCAGCAAGACAACAAGCCCCGCCGCCGTCGCGTGACACAGCGATCAGCCGCTGAACCCGTAGCGTCGTCGTCGTCGAGCGTGCTGCCCACGACCAGGGCGGCGAGCTCGGAACCGTATATCACGCTGCCGGACATCTACGCGCCCGGGGCTGATGGCCTCTGGCGCAAGACTAGCGGCGTTGCCGAGACGTGTACGGTCAGTGTCCGCTCGCTTGGCTCCTGCCATGACTTTGTCTAATCATGAACTACTCTGCCGCGCCCAGATGCAGCCCTCCTCTGTCTCTTCCTCCTCCACGACCCAAGCACTAGACGGCACAACATCAGCCGCATCCCTCGAGGAATTCGACACCTCCACCCTCCCCGACGGCTGGAAGCTGCAAGAGCCCCTGGCGCGCTCCAGCTTGATAGTCATCATCTGTCTCTCCGTCGCCGTAGCCTGCGCTTTCGTAGTCCTCGTCCTCAGCCTCGTATCGTGGAGAAAACGGGTGCATCAGGACCGCGACGTTGAACGACGGCGACGAAAAGCGAAAGATATCCCACCAGACGATTCTCTGGTCGTCGCAGCGGCGACGCAGCGGAAATGGTTGCGCGCAGGCATGCGCTGGAAGGAGAACGTCCGCCTCTCTGCACGCCGACGACGCTCAGCACGGGCTGTTAGCTCGAACGACAGCGTCGGCAGCCTCCGGCTCAGCGACATGTCTCGTTCCCGGCTGTCGTCAAGCACCGTCAACCTGACATCATCCGCGCCCTCCTCCCGCCCCTCCTCGCCCTCTCACCACCCACAATCCTCCTCGTCTTCAATATCATCACACCCGTCGACGACAATACCGAACGCTTCCGAAACACTCCAAGATCCGTCATCTCCCTCAAACGCCCCATCGCCATCACCGACTCCGCGCCCACCATCACCGACGACCCCAGCACCGCCTCATCCACCACTGTCCCCTCCTCCAGCACATCCGCCCGCCTACCACCCCGACGAGCGAGCGCCGCACTACGCCCGCGATGACGGAGCTCCCGAGCCCGGCCCTTCAAAACCCCGCGTGCCGACGACCCCTCGCGCACATGATCCGTATCCAGAAGAACGCGTTTGGACGCCAGAAGACGAGGACGATTTCGAGCTCTCCGGAGGTCCGCCCGAGGTCCAGACGGGGCATGTCGCCACGGACGATAAAGCGCTGCTCGCCGCGCGAGCCGCTCGAGCGTCCGCTCCCGCGCCTATGCACACGCGCGCTTCGATTTCGGCGCGGGCCGCTGCGCCGGAGTTGGACGATGAGATGGAGATGGCCGAGTTTGCGAGTAGGAGGAGAAGTCTGGGGATTGGCGGTGTGGATGAGGAGATCGGAGAGGACGTGGAGGCGAGCCCGAGTTATGTGCGCCATGAGCCGGCGGTGGCGTTCCCCGAGCCGCCGAGGAGAATGACGGAGAGGGCGAGCGAGAAGATGAGGGGGGAGTATGCGTATGCGTATGGGAGGGGAGAAGGGGAGGGGTGGGCGGCGAGTGCGCCGCCGGATACGGAGATGGTTGCGAGTGCGCCGCCGCCTGAGCTCGAGCTTGGGCCCAGCGCGCTTGAGCTCGTGCCGAGTGCGCCTCCGGAACCGAGCGCACCACCTGGGGACGACGAGTTTGAGCATCTGCCGGCACCCAGTGCGCCGCCAGCGCTCGACGACGAGCCCGCTCATGTACCGCTACCGCCCTCACCCACGGACCCTCGTTCTCCCTAGACGCATATTTGCTATATTTCCCTTGCCTCTGCTCGTCTCGCCCCATCTCGTCTCGTCCTCGTCGCATATCATCCCCTGTTTGCTTATTACCCAGCTGTGTCGTCTCTCATCTGTTTCTTGCAGCCCGCAATCTCTGTACCCATACTCAATATTACTTACCCCTCTCACCACGAGTTGTTTAGGATCGTTTACCGTCGACAGTTGTCTTTTTGCTTACGCTTAGGCCTTGCCTTTGAAACATGCACTTGCGTTGCGCATTGCGCATTCCGATTCTGACTGGGACTTGAGGCTTGCTTCTATTAGTCAGTGGTAGGCCTGCACCATTACGCTCGATCCATGGCTGAAGATTACTGGCTGGACGAGCTCGCCGTCCGTCTTCTCGACGATCGCCGTGCGCCTTGATTACTACTGACAAGCCGATGGGCTACACGATAGGCTCAAGCGTTGGCGCAGCTGGTCTTCGATTCGCTTACTGGGAAACCGAGGAAACTGTCGCTGGCTCGGCTTTGACGACGGCGCGGCGAACACTCTATAGGCTACGGCTAAGGCTCATCACATTTCGTCGTCGAAATACAGACGCATACAACGACACTCCTCCGCCGGATCGACATTCACGTCCACCGTCGGCGCCGGACATACGACCACCGCCTTACCCTCCAGCGCCTCCGTCATCGGGCGCCCATCCCCTCATCGACCATGGACCTCATTCTGTTAACCTTCCCGAGCACATGTTTTCACTCGCTTCTGCGCCGCCCAACCGGAGCCACCCGTCCCGCCTCATGCTTCTCTTCGGATGGAGGCCGCGACGCAGATTCAGACGAAGACGGATCGGTAATTCTCCGCCCTCCGCTCGCAGGCGCTTCGGCATTCCCCGCCGCGCGGGCTCCTTTTTGAGGGCCTGACTGGAATGTGATCACCGGAGCGACGGCAGGCGCAATGTGGGTCTGAATCGTGATGTGCGATTTGCAAATACCGTTGACAGGAGCTGAGAAGTGATGCGGCGTATGGATGGTATAATGCGCGCCCATATGTCTTCGAAATACGCCGGTGGGCCACAAGATGCGCGAGGCGCGATTTTCGGACTCTCGAATGGGGAACGATCTTCAGGGAATCAGGGTTGATCTGAGCCTGTGTACGAATATCGGCGCGCCCCAGTGGGTCTACAACGTATGATTCTGCGCCTGCGCCTGCGCCAGTGGTGCTGGTGCGGAGCAGTACGAGCACAAAGACTGAGCTTGCGGGACTTGCGATGGCGGGTGGGTCACAACTTCGACTCGCACGTCGTGCGGCGAAGGTACGAGCTCGGACGCCCTACAGTCCTACGGCTTGCCACTGTTCAACAGTTGGTTTTGTGGCGCATCGAAGGCCCCGGGTGGCAACAAACGCATGGCGAGCGCTGGCCATGTCGACTGGCTTCGGAAGAAGCCTGGCCGAGGATACGTTCTTCGCCCTTAATTTTGCTCGTCGTGGTATGAGCTGTGTGAATTGTTGTGTGGGGTAAACGATTCTGTCGGGTTTTGACCCGAGGGTACATGTGTAGCGTTGTTGTATGAGTGTAAAAGATACTTGAAGGAGATACAGTGTGCATATCCTAGAGAGATTGTAGCGCGGCGGAACGTCTTTGAAACAGCGCGTCACGGCGACTCGCGAGACGCGAGAATGCGATGCTCCTTGTGGCAGCTGGGAAGTTATGTCCTAATGAGGAGATTCAACCAGTGCGTCGGTACTCGTAGCCAGTCAGCAATAGTGTACGGCCGGTCCGCTGATCTTCTGTGAGCGGACCGACCCAGAGTGCGTATGCATTGTCTACGCGAGGTGGTGTCGGAGCCTGAAATAACGAGGTCTTGTGGAAGAAGACGACGAGAAGTCCTGGCTTTCCACCATGCGAGGTTCAGCCGCCGTACGGTAAGCTCGACACGGCCCGCTCATTGTCAGAATGGTCAACGTCCGAACGAAGACCTGGCTTGATGATGCATGTAGCATTTGAAAGCCCGCGCGGCTACCCTGGTAGTTTATTGGTGGTAAGTACGCGTCTCGAAGCATGCAGGACCTTATTCACCGTGCAGCCTTACGGCGGCCTGACGAGAGTCTACTAACCTACTCAGTAAGTAGTTCGATCAGGAGAGAGCACTCTGGAGGACCCTTCGAGATGTTGAGCCTGGAAGGAGAGACTGGGAGTAAGCATGTTCATCAGCACTTGAGAGCGGACGAAGACAACCTCCGACGCACCTCGACTCTGCACCCTTGCCTGCTCATCCGTCGGTATGTTATCACATATTCCCGCTGCCGTAGTGGAGATACGGAAGCCTGGAGAAAAATGTGGGGTCTGTATGCATGGAGCACACGATCGGCTATCAACGTGAGTAACGATTGAGTTCAACATTCAACCTTTCAATCTATAGGCAGCATTGGTAAATCATGTCTTTGACAGAGGGCGCTGACAGCTTACGTGGGAGTATAGCAGGTACACCTACCCGTGATGTGACGTGAAGATATTGAAATCGATGTATACAGCCAAGAAAAGAAGGCGTTGTTATCAGGTTCGATGACACGACAAGCCACCCGCCGTCAGATATCTCCTGCTCGTAAGGGATGGCTCGCTGCACACGCCTCTGGCTGTGAGGCCGTCGGAGTACCTTCCGCACAAGTCCGAGGCCTCACATCACATCAGTCCCGCGCCGTTGAGCTGGCACTTATGCTTCACATCTTGTGGTCCTCTTGCTCGGTCACACAGCCCAAGCGGGCGCCGCGTTCGTCTTCTCCTCGAAGACCTTCGCATGCAGCACTCCCATATCGTCAGTTACAAGGAGCGAAGAAGCAGTAGCCAGACTCAGCCTATGCACCAGAAGCACATACGGGCGCTTGATACGACAAAGAGAATCAAGGCGCTAGTTTGCCGTCATGCTCGTCGCTGGCCCCGGATGAGGTTTAGGTAGCTGAGCGGGGAAGTGCGAGGTACGCTCGCGGCGACCTATGGTAGAGTCTCGGCGTGGGGATTGAGGTTGACCCGTCGCGCCGTGCGACGGAGCGCCCAGTTCGCCGTCGCGCGCTCTCTGATGTCCATCTCTCGGTACGCTTGGCGTTTTGGAGAAGTCGACAAAAGCCACTAGAGCTTCAAGCTAGCTGTTCAAACACTGAATCGTTTGGCTATATCGGGAAGTATCCTATTGTACGGAAGAACAAGAGTCAAGAGCACCCAGGCAGGGACGACTCACATGGAAAATCACAGATTCTTGGAACAACAGTTCCGGCAGGTCGTAGTCTGTGTCGCTGAAGTCGCCAGGTTGTTCTGATGTGTGTTCTGAGACGATGTTGTGCACGTTGAAGTGGGCAGTATTACCGTAAGACCTTGAATTCTTTCGCTACCCTGCGTTCAAAGACCGGTACTTGTCGAACGTCGAACCCCGCCTGTATATCAGAAACGTGTCTGCCGTTCTGTACGTCGCTTCTTTACAGAGGCTTCAACGTGCTCCAGCTGGCATCCTTACGCAGCATAGGAAGCACGATTGGGTTGGCCTGGGATGACTTGCACCGGTGTGGCAAATTGCTGATGATAGCACGCGCGTCTGCTATACACGCCAGGGAGTGGCCGCGTAGACAGAAGCAGCACGGTGCAGTGAGGGTGCGCCATGATACCTCTGCGCAGCAGTCCAAAAGAGTAAGCGATGGAGAGAGGGGTGGGTTTCTTGCAGTAACCGCCGTGAAAGTAGGGTAAAGTCCCGTCAGATGAACCAACCAGAGGACCAGATTTCGAACGGCTCTTGAGGCGACCCTCTCAGTGATGCGTATAGGACCCGCACGCACAGCTAAGAGATGACCAGGTATGGAAGCAGCTTTCGTTGCGTATCGCGTCCAAGCACACCTCAATGGGGATGATGGCCGTCGGAATGCACGGGGACTTGGCGCGCGGGCGCAGTCGCGTAGAAACGTGGGAGACTGCCGTCATCAAACCGGCTTCTTCCGGCTCGTGGATGTCATGATGATGGCTATGGTTGCCGCGTCTCTCTTCCACCCACCACAGCCCACCACCCACCGAGTCGGGATGGTTGACTATGTGACTTTCTATGCCATTGATCTATATACTTGATACAACGGACGTGCTTAGTGGCACTCTTGCCTTTGAGGGAAATGAGCACGATCCGGATCGGGAACAAGGATGAAGGAAGTTCGCCTACTGGAGACTGGTGGCACGAGTCACCGACCACTCAACAATGCCTTCGGGGAGGACTTTGCTGGTATGCTGCACTTCATAAACTCCTTTTTCCCTTTGTGTCTATCACCAATCGAGTGCCTACATGCAGGTTGCAGGCGAAGCAATGAGTGAACTGCGTGACGGATGATCGATGAAGGGGCCTTCCACTCACTGAACCACAATTACGACACTTCGACGATTGTGAACCACCCGTAGCCGTGGGCCCTTATATGTAGCAGCCTCGGGACGCTGCATCGCATTCAGTGCCAACCTCCCTCTTCGCCCACCCCTCGCCCTGTCAACTGGGATGGAACCCGCAAACGATGGATCAGCAGGTCCTTCAAGGCTCACTACGCCGGAGGCACCGTCAATTAGATCTGAGCCATATCTCGAAGTTCGCGATCGCTTCAATAAGTTGGTCAAGATGAGCATCTCCGACGCTCTGTTCCGTCTCGAAGCAAACAACCATATCGCGGCCACTCTGAAGGAATACCAGACTCAACCGAGGATACGTGAATCCCTCTTGAGCCTTATGAGGTTTTGTATCGAACCCAGGTGCGCCCTCCGTCTGGACTGTGATCAGATGACTGGTCTGACGCTCTCACAGCAGCGATTTGCGTAACATCGTCAAAGCAGCAGACGCACTATCCGGCGGCAAACCAGCTCTCATTGATAACCTCAAGAAGTCTCTCCCGCCTAGCTACCGCATCTCGTTGAATCTGGACCACCGAGTAGCGTCCGTGACTGTCGGCACGCCCATCGATACCGCCACCGACACCGGCGTGCAAGCTAGCGGATCTCCCTGCGCAACATGCGCAGATAAGAGGTGGAAAAGGTGGAAGGGGCCTTACCATTTCAGGATGTTCAGGAAAGAAGTCGACAAATGCTATCCTACGAGCTGTGGAAGCGTACTCCTCAAAATGCTCGACATCATCGTGACGAGGCATTGTCAGCGGAGAGGGCTCGATAGGGCTTCCGTGAATGTAGTATCCATAAGCGACGAGGAGAAAGTGGTGATTATGGGAGAGGTCAGACCATTCCCTTTTCATATCTTCCGGCATGCCTGAGTACTGATTCTGTCGCGGAAGGTGCTCGACGAGCTGGATGCGCTGTTTCACGGTCATCCCAAGATGAAGCACTGCTTGAGAACGGTCATCCGTAACGCCCGTGGGTCTGAGCCGCCCGTGGCACCCGCTCCCGCTTGGAATATGAACTTGAAGACCCTCGTATTTTGAATGGGACGACTCTATGTTCCCGCGATATAGTACTACGGCTCGAGCCCATAGCACCGTCTTCCTCTACAAAGTCGCACCATCCGTAGTGGTAGCATGCTGATTTCGTGTTATCTCACCTATATTACATACTCCTTGAACTCTATCAATCATCAGTTGATTAATCGAGTGGAAGAGTTATGACCCCGACTGAGGCCAGTCTCCTAGTAGGCTTTTGATACTTTGATACTTTTTTTTTGTCAAGAACTATAGCTCTTCGCCGTGGTTTGGGCGTTACGAGCTCTACAGAGGCGTGTTACAAATGATATGCTATGCAGATTTCCGTTCTGTTCTGAGTCCGTTGGTCGAGTTGGTGTAGCGAGTAGCGGGTAAGATCGTCGTAGGCTGTCCGGTGTCGGCGTTTGAGTGTTGGCCGTTGGTTGCATCGCGTCCGCTTGCAGAAAACCAGAACTCCTTCTCCCGTCGTCCTCCCGTGCCCTATTTTGATACTTATGCACAAGTCTCGAGTGCTGAGAGCGTCTAGCTCAAACGAGCTACAGTATTGCAACCCACAGGGATGCTCACATTCCCAGAAAGAAAATATAACAATAAAAGTCGTGTACCACGTCCACTCAGCGAACAAGCAAGCAATAGTCGAAAGAAATGTCCCTATCCAAAGCACCCAAACCGCTCAAGCCCAGCTCAAGCCCTCCCTATCGCCTCCCAGAGACCGGCAACCCCTTCCTCGCCGCCCCACCAGCACCAGCACCACCATCCGCGCCCGCCTTCCGCTGCCACTGATCAATCAACCTCCCAACGCCCTGGAACGGCTTATCCGGCGACGGACTCCTCGCGTCCCCTCCGTGCCCATTCCCATTCCCATTCCCATGATGAGCAGAAACGGCGGGAGGCTCAGCGGCGCGCTGAGCCTCGCGCTCTTTCTCCCTTTCGCGCTCGCGCTGCTCGTAGAACGGCGCTGGGGATGCGGCGGGGCGTTGAGGGGTGGGTTGGGGGAGTGCGAAGGGTTTCTTGTCGGTCGTGCTTCTGTCGTCGCCTGTGGTATCGAGTGTCATGGACCTTGATGGCGCTTTCGCGCCCGGACTCGTCAGACCCGGTAAGCCCACTGCACCGCCTGTGCGTGACGGCCGCGCAGGTTGAGGCTCATCGTGCTGTGCAGGACCCGATGTCAACGCCGTACCCATGCTCCTCGAGCGTGACTGCATAGGAGAAGCTGGAACCGCAAACGTGCCCAGACGCGGTGAAGGGGAAGGTAAGATCGACGAAGCAGTGCCGTGGCTCGCGACTTTCGATATACCCGTCGTGGGCTTGGTACTAGCGTTCGTAGGCGGCGGAGCCACCTTCGAGTTGGAGCTCGCGCTATTCGGTGTTGGGGTGGTCGCGGCCGTTGGAGAGTTCAAAGACTCATACTTGAGCACCATATCGGAGATCGAGGTACGTCGGGTGGTATTGGCTCGCGGATTCGGAGGCGGCCCGAGCGACTTGGGCAGACCAGTCGGTTCGGCTGCAGCGGGCGCTTTGAGCGGTGTAGAGGAAAGTAACATCGACTGAGGTCTTGGGCGCGACGAGCGGGGTATAGACGAGTTCGAAGTTGAGGTCGATTCGGACCCGCTGGGTTGCGCAGCGAGCTCGCGTACGCGCGTGAAGCTCGATCCGGGTCCTTTGGCGGGAGAAGGTGGCGGCAGCGTTTCCTCCGGTACAGGCTTGCTCGTAACGTTCGTCCGGCTCTCCACACCATTCGCCCCTGCCCCGCTCGCATTCTTCGCAGCAGGATTACTATCCCACAGATCGACCAGATCATGCACCGAGCTCTGCCGCCCATGCGCCCTCGCCCGTCTCGGCGCCGCATCTTCAGGTCCCTCGTCGCTCTCCCCACTACTCGGCGCTCCTCTCGGCTTCGACTTGCTCCTCGCCCTACTCTTCGACTTTGACCGCGACCTCTGTTGCCTCTGCAATCTCGACGACCCGGACCCAGCGGCATGATCGTGCGTGTTCTCAACGGGCGACCAGTTATCCGACAATGCCTCGGCCTGTTGCGTGCTCTGCGACGCGACGGGCGCAGCGGGTATAAGCGGTTTAGACGCCAGCGCCGGTTTAGGTCGTACAAGCGGTTTAGTCGCGCCCGTGCCGAATGATGCGACGGGTTTAGACGCCAGCGCTGTCCCGGTAGGTGTCGTCCGCGCTCCTCCAAAGCTGCTTGTCGTCGGTTTCGGCTGGGACGTCGAAGGCGCAGCGGACGAGGGCGTATCGACGAGCTTCTGCCTCCAGCTGTACTTGTTCGCCGGCGCCGTCTCCTCCACACTGGGCGAGACCTCGTTCGTCGGCGTCCGATCGTGCGTGGCGCTCATAGCCTGTGCAAACGCCGGCGCGGGCGCGTTCATCAGTACACTCGCGCGCTTGGACGGGCTTCCTCGCAGTACGGCCTGTCCGCTCGCGATCGCGGAGGCGGTCTGCGTGTCATCGTCCGAGCCCGTTAACCAGTCCCTCGTACCCGGCTCCGGGCGTCCCAAGATCTCCGCTGCCGACGGCGGGCGCTTGAGCACATCGGGCGATGCGTCTTCGGACGAAGATGACGATATAGAGGGTGACGAGGCGATATGCGCGTTCGTGATCGTGTTTGAAGAGAGATTGACCAACGGCTCTTGAGGCGACGTCGCGGTAGGCTTGATACTGATACTGCTCCGATGTCTCCTCACAAGACTGGGTCGCGCAACGATTTGCGGGCGCGAGACGGTGATACCCGAACCGCTCGAATCGGGCTGAGCGCGCATAGCGGCGCCCGTAACGTGTTCGGAGCGTACGCCGTCGCCTGTCGCCTTCGGTACGCCGAGTCGGCCCAGTGCGGGCTGTTTCGCGGGGGACTGAGAGAGGTATTGGGGTGGGCGAGGAGGGAGTTGAGGGCTGCTGTTGCTCTGGCTGGATTTGGGTAGAGAGGACGTTGGTGGTGAAAGCGCGCGGTCGAGGTCTTCGAGGCTCGGGAACCGCTCTTCGGCGCTGAGGTTCTCGTCTTGCTTTGACGGGCTTGATGAGGGCTTCCAGCCTGATGATGTGGGCGGTTGAGGCGAGCGTCGGCCTGGTGTCCAGTTTGACAAGGGTTGTGGCGAGGGTGTAGGTCGGAGTTGTGGCGCGGGAGACGGGCGAGGAGATGTGCGCGGAGGAAGGCTGGGGTTGGTGTTGGGACTTGTGCCCAACAGGTTCGCCCCTGAGCTCGTGGCCAATCCCGTACGCAACCTGCGCGCCTCTGCGAGCGTCGGCGCCGGCGGCTTCTCGTTCGGACTGATACCCAACCCATAGAACGCGTCTCTCCCTCCATCTCTCCGTCCAGGGATGTTCAACGCCGCTGTCCCAGTAGCAGGCGGAGACAGCGCCGCAGAAGCCGATGCAGCAGCAGCCGCGCTCGAGCTCCCCAGCATGCCCTCGAAGGAATCACCAAAGCCGGACCCCGCGCCCGGCTGGAACGTCTTTCTTCTGTCCGCCTTCTCAGCCTTCTCCGCGCCACTCGGTCTGGTAGCCCACGCATCGTCTCTCCCTCCACCCCACGCACTCGCGCTAGGACTCGGCAGACCCGATCGATGTCCGCGCACACCCTGACCCTGCATCTTGGCCCAGCTCGCCTCCTCCGCAGCGCGGAACTCTCTGTCGTCCCTGCTCGGACTCGGCGCGCGTGAGTTCGATCCGCCAGGTCGACCACGGCGCATGGGCGCGATGGCCTCGAGCACCTTCTCGCGTGCTTGGACACCCTTGTTCGGGCTTGGTGTGGGGACTGGCGCGGCTGTTTGTGTGTGGGGCGGTGAGAGGGCGTGGGATGGGCCGTGAGGGAAGGCGGAGGAGGGCGCGGGCGCTGTGGCGCGGTTGTACGTGAAACGCGACTTGGTGCCGCGCATGCGGTGGACGACGTCCAGAAGCTCGAACACGCTCGGTCGTTGGGCGCCGTGTTCTCGCAGCATCGAGCCTGTACAACACATTTCAGTACACTTTCTGCACACTATATGGGGATAACCCACCGATGAGCGCGTTCATCTGACCCGAGTAGACCGGATAGCTCGGGATCTTGTACTGCACGTTCAAGATCGCGAGAGGTCCATGCTCCTCGAACGGCGTCGTGTAATAGCACAGCTTGTACAACAGCACGCCCAGAGCCCACACGTCGCTCTTCTCGTCGATCGGCCGTCGCAGGTAGGGATCGACCATCTCCGGCGCACGATACTGCAGCGTCGTGTGCCTGTTCAAGTCCGTCTCGAGTGCGCGAATTTCGGCTGTGGACGCTGGAGGACGTGATGCTGCAGGTGTAGCGGAGCCGAAGTCGCAGAGCTTGAAGAGCGTCGCTGAGGACTGGAGGATGTTCTCGACTTTGAGGTCGCGGTGGAGTAGGGCGGGCCGGAGGTTGTGCATCGCTGCTACGCCCTCGCATGTGTCCACGAATATTTGCAGAATTTCGCCCTCGGTCAGACGCTCGCGGAGTCGCCTGTTCATCATGTCGATTATGCCGCCGCCTGCGTTGCTAGGTTAGTATATAGAATCAAGCGCCAGCGATTAAGATTGAGGCGCACCAGAGCAGAACTCCATGAGGATGAAGATCTCGTAGACGCCGTTCGGTAGCCTGTGCCATGCGGCGTCGATGAGGTTCACGATGTTCGGATGGCCGCGCAATATTCGCTAGAGTATAGTTGTAGTAGGCTATCAAGATAGAGTGATAGCAGACATACCATGATGTCGACCTCCTTCTTGACCTCGGCCAGCATCCCCTCGTTGGGCACCGCTATCCGCTTGAGCACATGCTGCGTCGTCCCGTTCACCGGCTGGGGAGTGCGCACGAGATAGACATAGGCGTATCCACCTGCAAGTGACAGGCGTCATTCGATGTAACCATTCAAATCACTAGCAATACGGACCCTTTGAGAGGTATCGCTCGATCTGGATCGTGTATTTGTTCACGGATATCGTCTGGCCGGGGACGAGCGGGCCCCGGTCGTTGTTCATGTAGGCCATCGTGGGCCTTGACAAGTCTCAGCCAACTCGCCTGCTCTGTCCCTCAACACCACGTGGTGATAGCCTGTTTCTAGCAACCTCACAGCGCCTTGCTCTCCAACCACCATCTCTCAGTGCCCTTCTTCTTGCCTTCTCAAACGCCGTATAGAAGCAGAGCCGTTGAGCATGAGAATGTTGACGTAGCGCTGTTCATGATGCATGACTGTTCGACCGGAGCATACACAACACACGATCTTCCTCTCTAGGACAGTCGGCGGAGACATTACACTCCGTATATCCAAAAACGAAAACTGTCTCGGACTGTCATACACTCTTCCCCGAGCTCGCGCCGTCACGGGTCGTTCATCGCTATATTTTGCTACGCCTCGGACCCTTGCTTAGTTACCTCCGTGCCGACTGTTGTAGTACCCACACAGAACGAGATGTTCACCTTCTCTTTCTATATTGATACTATACTTTTACGAATATCACTACACCCCATCCCACCCGCGAGACCCGACAGCCGACGCTTAGGTCCGCAAGCCCAGAGTTATTCCTAGATCGCGGCGGAAGAGGGCTGCCCGGCCAGACTTTGCCTAGACGCGCATCTTGACGGAATCTACTATATAATCGAACGAAGAGCCGTGACCTCATCCTCATCCCAACAAATCTACTACTTAGCTACTACCACGATGGCGCTCCGCAACACGCTGCACTCGTTCACGACGCTGAACGCGCCGTCGAGCCCGTCGGCCGACAGCATCCCGTACTCGCGCCCCGTTACGCCCGGCGCGTCGGAAGCGCCTCTGAAGGTCGGCTGGGTCGGCTTGGGCGCGATGGGCTACCCCATGGCCCGCAACCTCGCCGCAAAGCCGCCCTCCAGACCGGCAATGGGCCTCCCGGTCAGAGTGTGGAACCGATCGACGGCCAAGAGCGAGGAGCTCGTCAAGGAGCTCGGCGAGGGCAAGGTCGCCATCGCGCAGACGCCGGGAGAGATCGCGGAGAGCTGCGATGTTATTTTTACGAGTCTGGCGAGCGATGAGGTCGTGAAGAGCGTTTATGCTCAGTTTGCAGAGGCGTTGAAGGTGTGTGGTACTACTTGCTGTTTCGGGAAGAGAGGGAGATCTAACGCGCGTGCAGGTCAACCCACCGACCAAGGCCAAGATCTTCGTAGAGACCTCTACCGTACGTCTCTCCTTACACGATCATATGTCTGTCAATCTCATACAATGTCTAGATCTACCCAACAGTCGCCGGCGAGCTCGACGCCCTCATCTCCTCAATCCCCCACTCTCGTCTGATCACCTCGCCCGTCTTCGGTCCCCCCGCGGCAGCCCAAGCCGGCACCCTCGTCGCCTACCTCGCCGGCGACTACCAGTCCAAGAAACTCATCGCCCACCTCCTCGTCCCCGCCGTCGCCCGCAAGGTCACCGATCTCGGCGGCAACCTCGAGAAGGCGCCGACGATGAAGCTCATCGGGAACAGCGCCATCTTGGGCTGTTTGGAGGTCTTGGCCGAGAGCTTTACGCTTGGGGCGAAGAATGGGATTGATCAGGCTATTATCTATGATTGGGTCAAGGGTGCGTGTCTTTACGGTCTCATACGGCCATATGTCGGTACTCACGCGCGTATATAGAGATGCTCCCCGCGCCGCTCTTCGCGCACTACGGCGACAAGATGCTGCACAACAAGTTCGACGGCTCGATCGGCTTCGGCATCGACGGCGGCATCAAAGACGCCTCGCACATCCGTCGCTTGACATCCCAAGTCAACTCGCCCATGCCCGTCACCGACGTCGCGCATCAGCATCTGCTCGCTGCGAGGGCGATTCATACGGCGCAGGCTAGGACGGGCGCGCAGGAGTTTGAGGTGCTTGATTGGAGCGCGCTTATTGCCGGGACGAGGGTCGCGGCTGGGTTGGAGCCGTTCCATAAGGATGAGGTAAGTCGATCTTTACTCGTATATTGATGCGGTACTAATACGGTTATACAGCCGAGCGGTGTGGTCAAGGAGGACTAGTTGCAAAGAAGGGAACTGAAGAGGTCTTTCAAGGCCGCTGTACTATAACGGATACGCCTGTCTTTTAGATAAGGGTCTGATTGCTTCAGCGTATAGACGGGTTTGGTCTGCTCTCTTGACTTGGCTCGACTTTCCATGTCCAACGATCTGACTGCCGTTTGGCAGTTGCTTAGCTGTGTCTGAAACACTGACCCGATACAATGCCGATAGGGTATTTGTAAATGTCTTCGCTCATATCCTTTCCAGCCCCTGTTGGGTTTGACGTCACAAGGACCCTCATGAATCTATGGACATGAACCGTGCGTGTACCATTCGTTAATGTATCAAAACTATGAACGCAGTGTCCCTTCATTTGCCTCAGATGCCCAAGGAGATGCCTAGTCGCCACGTTGGTATCAAGGGGCTATATATCTTGTAAGTACGGTTCCTGGGCTGACCGAGATCATCCGTCTTTCTGCCGGCGCAATCTTCTTTACTTGCGCCTCGTCTCGTCGGGCTTGTAAGCGCCCTAGCATTCCTGACCGGATACTCTGATTCAAGGTCAGACCCAGAACCTGATCGAGCAGTTCCTGCGTGAGAGCCGACTCCGGTAGGTCGTCAAGTTCTGTGCCGAGTATATCGAATAAGTCATGTTCCCTAAGCACCGGGCGGGAGGGCACCCCGTATCGTTCAGCTTCACGAGCTACGGTTGGCTTGAGCACTCTCCTGCACCAGAGGATGATCTTTTTTCGAGTTGACGACAATCGCTTCTTGTAAGCGGAGTAGATGAAGTCTTGAAACGACGCATGGTGCCAGCGCACATGGCCGTCGCCGTTCACATATAGCACCGCATATAATCCTTCCACCAATGATTGCACGAGATCTGGTCCCACTGCCGTCATATATCCTAGGAGGGAGACATGCAGCGCTGTGGACGAGCAGATCACAGCCAATAGGACACGTTCTCGCAAACGCCGCTCATCATCGTCTAATTCATCAAACGCGTCCTCTAAGATCTCCACGTATAAGCCATCTAGGATCCCGCTGGACGAACTTCGAGCTAAAGTACGAGTTACGATCTGTCGAATCTTGGCCTCTTGTTCTCTCGGTGTTCTACGTCTGCCCTTGGTGGTGCACACGAGCCTCACGGCTGTCGAAGCATATATGAAGAGGCCATCGGACACGCGAGCTAATTCCACGAGGTACGGTTCATCACGATGCTCCGGCAGCTCTTCGTTCAAAAAGTGTAGGATATCTCCGCCCACAACAGAACGATCAACATCGTTCAGATTACACACGGCTCGACCATCGATGTCGGCGCAAAGGTGCCTGATCTCAGGCTCTGGACGGCTTGTAAGCAAGATGCGGAGTCCTTTGAGTTTGCCTGCGCGGGAGGCTTTGAGAATGAGTTTGATGAACTCTGCCCCGGCTTCGTTCTCATCCAACGCATCCACAACGACGATCAACGGGCGCAAACCTTCTCGGAGGTGCATGCTTCTCTGCCACGGACGAACAAGCAACTTCGACATCTGCACACTGAGCCGCTGATCGCCGAGGTTACGCTCCGCCTTCAAGGTATTGACGAGTTGAGAAGCAAAAGAAGCGGAAGAGTCAGCAATACACAGGGCCAATGTTGAAACCAGCAGACGTTCATCATGGGTATCGAGCTGACGAGAGCAGAAGAACGACACAAAGGAGATGTCTTCAGTCTGTTCGAGTTCTTCGAGTCTTTCACAGATCGTATAGCCAATGGTAGTTTTGCCCTGTCCGGCGAGACCTGAGATCCAATAAATGGGCGCGATATCCGTTCGCTCATCAAAAGCCCACGCGAGAATCTGCTTGAGAATATCGTCGCGCGTGCCCGGTGTACAGTGACGTCTGCGAACACCATTGATAACCACTGCAGCAGTGTATGCGGCATCTTTCGCTCTGGGAAGATTCTGCAAGACTGTTTCCTGACGGCAGCAACGACATGACTTTCAGAGGTACGCCGCGTGTTGACGAGAAGTCGACATACCTTCAAGATCGCCTGCGTAAGCTTCTCCAAGGACAGGCCGATGCGTAACTTCAAGGATCGTCAGCGACAAGGGCAATATCACTGATATACACATCAGACGTACTTGAAGTTCCTGTATTGCCCTCTCAATCGCCGTGCATACATCCTTCAGCTGACTCTCGATTTGGGAGCTATGCACGACGCGGAACAATACGCCTCTCCGTTTCATCCCTTCCAGCCTTGCCAGTTGCACGGTCAGAATTCTTCAGATAGGTCAGATGGTTGACCTTCGACAGCAGGATGCACGCAACGTACTCGGCGAACGGCCCAAGCGTGAATTGGAGTACCGTCTCACGATCTCCGCTCAAACGATGAGCAAGGATACCAAGCAAGCGATCGATGCGCCTCGTGATATCCTGCAGTTCGGATTGGCTCGACCGTGTCCGCTAGTGAAGCAATCTCATTAATTTGGGGCACAGAGCTCGTCGAGTGCCACGCACCTCATATACGTCGATCAGCGCCACAAGTCCCCCGACTACGGACTTCAGCGGCGGAAAGACATCGGACGACTCCTTGAGCAGGTCGAGGAGGAGTCTTGTTCCCACCCAGCCAGTCTTCGCCGCTCTCCGACAGCCTATCCTGAGGTCTATGCATCATCGATCAGCATTTGTGCCACCCTTCGGGCGCTTGAAAGTGAGGGGACCCACGCGCATAGTTCCTCATTCTAGCGGACAATAGCCAGTACAATGGTGCGAGCTGAGCAGATTATCAGCGAACGTCAATACGCCACAGTACTGGTGGTGCGTACGACAAAAAAAGGATGATCGTCCGCCGGGGGCGGTAAGCTTTGACTCTGCATCCGAAACGAGTTTGCGTGATTATTTCAGGGCGAGGCAACTTCAGATGTGCAACTGTGAGTGGAGCAGAATATTAAGCTGCCTGCAGAAGGAGGTGGTACAGCGCGCGTTGAACCGGTCAGCTGTTAGAACGGACCCTGTGCAATTGCGTACTCTCACGCGAAGCACTGCATCAAGCGCTGCTGAGAAAGCCCACAACGTGGGCGTCTCTGCATGCTTCATAATATAGCTCGCGCACTGCGAAAATCTTCGAGGAGGTTGTACACAGCACAGTATGTAAGGCTTGAAAGTTTACCACGCGAATGATGGGCAGAGGCAAAAGGCAACGCCGCGCGACAGCGTAGTGAACCGGCCCATTCACTTGCACCAAACCATGATGGTCCGCCGTCCCTCGACTCCAGTAACAGTTGGCCATTAATCTATCTTGAGAACCCTGCTGGCCTTTCAACCAGCGATGACGCGGATCCTCTGCCATTTTATACCGACAACGCCGCGGACCCATCGACCGTACGCTGTTCTACTGCTACCCAATGCACCATCCAGATCCACGCAGTAGTCACCGGCGAGGCCGATGCCCCAACTTCCTTAATCTGGCCCTCGTGCCTCGTAACTTCCCCCGGCCTCGACCCAGCCACGACCCTCAAAGCTCGACCATGAGTGCTTAAGCTCGTCGGAGACTACCAATGGGAAGGAGCCTGCCCCTCCCTCATACCTGTCGTCGTGTGCAGAGTCGCCAATCTCGGGCAATATCCAACCACATATAAATGACGAAGATTGCCGGGAATAGCGCCGTCTTAGGCGTGTGCGAGATCCTGGATGGGTGCTTTATACTTGGAGCGAAGATTGGAGTGCCTCAGGCTATCATCTACAATAGGTCCAGGGTGCGTCCACACCGGCCTTTCTGGCCACACACCCCCCATTCACCCACAATTGCATGCGTATACAGATATGACTTATGCGCCCCTCTTCGACAAAGTGCTACGCAATAAGCTCGGCAGGCTGCGAGTGAAATCCGCACGACCCAAATCAAGACAGGGGCACAGGATGTTGAGCTGTCAGATAGGAGGGTGTTTATTGCAGGGACGAGAGCATGGCTAGTCTGAACCAAGATTGAACCTCATTCATGAGAATGAGGTGAATTCATATGATATAAATATATGAATTGGACGGGTGCTGATTGATGGTTGTAGCCGAACCTACGACTTGTGTTGCATCTTTCTTGTCTGCTCGCTTGAAACCTATACTATTGACCAGCGGCGGCGGCGAGGGTCGACAGCTTGGCAATATGACCGCCCTCTCCTACGAGAGACTGATCATGGCAACGAGTACTCTGGGTACATGGCCTCCATCGTACGATGACCGGCCAGCGACGAGGAAGCCGAGGCCAGCTTTGGGGAAGCTTCAGCCTTCGGATTTCTGTCTATGTGGCAGTGGCGCGCAAGGTGCGCGGCTGCCGCGTGACCGATAACCAAGGTATCGCCGCTTAGAAGAGGCCAACTTGTGTTTCCTCAGGCGCAACTGCGCTATCTTGTAAGATAGGATTCGTGTCAATACGCTACCTCATATAATGTTCCATCTTGCAAAACAAGTAGTATGGCTACAACGCTCTTACAACTCCATAGGAGTCTCGATTCAATTCGTCCCTAACATCTCCGCAGTGGTACAGTTTCCGCTATATCAGCGCATCTTAGTGCGTCGGACTGGGGTAGGTTGCGAGCCCTGATCTGCGTCTCTCAGTCCTCCCTCTGCCCTCATACGCATAGGCTCGGAGACTGCCTCAGCGAGCTGCGAACAAACGATGATCAGTCTTGTGGCCCATCACCGGGGAAAATGGAGAGTTGTAGGTACATACCTGCGGCGCCGCACTCCGACTCGCGCTCAGACTCCTCCTCCTCCTTCTCCACGAGTCTCTCCTATTCCTACGCATCTCACGGGCATTCTCGTGTTCGATCAACCTCTTCTGTATGGCCACAAAATCAGCCCGCGTCAAGCCCGCGAACTGTCGTATGTGGTCTTCCGCCTGGTTCGCATCCATAGCCTGTTCCTCTGCCTTCGTCACGCCAACACCAGGACTGAGAAATGGTCCTGAGGATGTCGAAGCTGATGTGGAAGGTATGGACTCGAGGTTGTGCCACCGCGGCTTCAACGGCTCCATGACGCTTAGCAGCCCCACTGGTTCTTCTACTCCGTGCTGCTCCTGCCCCATATCTGTACCCTTTTCGTCTGAGTTGAACCTAGAATGATAACTGCTCCTGGTGCTCTCTAAGCTCCCCCTCAGCAGCAGTGTTTTAGCCATGGCTTCCGCCTTCCGCTTTTCCTTCAGCTGTCTCTTCAACTCCTGCTGCCTCGATTCTGGACGTAATACCATGTTGGTCAGTAGATCAACGAGCCTTTGCGTGGCAAGGGCATCAGAGATAGAGACGTCGTCGGGTAGTATCATACTGATCAGTTCACCGAGGTCAGTCTCCGTGAACGGGGTTGTCGAGGTTGTCAACAAGATATCCCTGCACCGGCGAATGATGTGAAGGCGGATGGACGGCATCGATGATTCATAGGTAGCAAGGACGTAGTCTTGGAATGAGGCATGGTGCCAGCGCACATTGCCAGAGACATCAATGTAGAGGACTGAATAAAGAGCCTCGACCACTTTGCGTACGAGCGGCCTCTCCGCATTCGCAAGTATTCCCACGAGGGACAACGGTAGGGACATAGATGTGCAAACCACAACGAGAAGAATGCGCTCCCTGGCGCCTCTTTCGATAGCATCAAATGTTTCGAACGCATCTTCTATGATCTCTGCGTATAGTCCATCAAGGATGCCTTCAGATGACTGCGTCGACGTATGATCGATGATCTGTTGGATCTTGAGTCTCTGCTCCTTTATTGTCCTGAGTTTCCCGTTTACGAGGCGAACAGCCGTGGAAGCATAGATGAAAAGCCCGCCAGAAACTCGACCTAAAGCCCTGAGGTATGGCTGGTTGCGATGTTCTGGGAGTTCTGTATACAAGAAGTTCAAGATATCTCCATCTACCACAGCGTATGTGACCTCGTTGAGGTTACACACGGCGCGTCCGTCAATGGACTCACAGAGGTGCCTGATCGAAGGCTCTGGGCGACTCGTAAGGAGAATGCGAAGCCCCTTGAGCTCCCCCGCGCGGGACGCAGAGAGAATGAGCTCGATGAACTCTGCTCCGGCTTCATTCTCGTCCAAAGCGTCAATGACGACAATGAAGGGGCGCAATCCTTCCCGAATACGTTCACTCCTCCGCCAGGGGCGGATGAACAACTTCGACATCTGGATACTGAGACTTTGATCGCCCAGTGTACGTTCAGCCTTGAGAGCTTCGACCAGCTCAGAGGCATAGGAAGCAGAACAATCAGCAAGCCCATGTGCCAAAGTGGAAACCAGGAAACGTTCGTCATGAGTGTCAAGCTGACGAGAGCAAAAGAGAGACACGAACGCAACTTCCTTAGACTCCCGGAGCTTTTCGAGTCGCTCACAGATTGTATAGCCGATGGTGGTCTTCCCCTGTCCAGCAAGACCGGAGATCCAGTAGACGGGTGCAGTGTGTTCGTCCTCGTCAAGTGCCCACGTCATTATCTGTTCCAAGATGTCGTTTCGTGTCCCTGGAGTGCAGTGTCGTCTCCGGACGCCATCAATTGCCACAGCGGCACTATATGCCGCATCTTTGGCTCGCGGCAGATTCTGTAAGACAGCCTCCTGATTGAATCATGATGAGTTCCGGGACTTGCATCAGAAGAGCTAATCGACAGACTTTCAGGACTGCCCGCGTGAGGCTCTCCAACGAAAGCCCTATACGCAACTTTCGATGTTATCAATAAGACTTGCTCGCCGACAGTTGACATTGTCTTCACCTGAAGCTCCTGTATTGCCCGCTCGATCGCCGTGCACACATCTCGCAGCTCATTTCCGATCTGGATACTATGCGCGACGCGAACCAAACTGCCTCGGCGTGTCATCTCCTCCAACTTTGCAAGGTACATGATCAACATCCTGTCAACAACAAAGGTTCAGTATAGTCCAGGAATCGAGACGAATCGCGTGTTACACACTTCGCAAAGGATTCGTCCGCGAAGCCATGTACTACGTGGCGATCTCCACGAAGACGATCTCCGAGGATACCTAGCAAGCGATCGATCCGATGCAGAATATTCTGTAAGTCCGAATCGTTTGATTTTGTCCGCTAAACGACATTACAGATGAGCCACAAGTGTGACCTTGGCCAGTAGAGATGCACCTCGTATACTGCAATGAGGGCCAATAGTCCTCCAACTGCGGATTTGAGCGGTGGGAAGGCGTCGGAAGATTCCTTGAGTACGTCCAGAAGAATTTTCGTACCGTGCCACCCCATCTTCGCTGCTCGGCGGCTGCCTACCCAGAGGTCTAATAGCCGGTAGTTAGCGTTTCTAGGAATCGCTCCTCGTTCTTTGAAGGAAACTGACGTGCATAGCTTCCCACTCGCGTGGATAAGAACCACTCGAAGGGAGCAAACTGGTTTTGTATCGTTGACCAGCCCAAATCGATCACACCTTGTGAGTGCTTACTGTGCTGGACAACTTCGGATGGTCTTCTTCTAGGGTTCGTCCTTCCATACTGGACAGATGTTTGCTATTGCCACTGCTGGCCCCGAGGGACGCAAGCGGAGCCTCTGGCGACGGATACCAGGGTGGGTGGTGGACGTCAAGAGCAAACGGCAAGAGTTATTGAATGCCGTTCGAACCTGTGCGCTCCCATATACTCTCACGGGCAGGCACCGCCCATTCAGCGCTCAGCGCCGTTAGGGGGTAAATGTCATGGACCACGATGCTTCCTCAAAGACTTCTACTAGGAAGACTTGACCACCCGTCATCATCGCCTCCATAGCAAACCGGTGAGGCTACAGGTATCGCTTTGTACAAGCACGCTTCAGAATGCCTTCGAGAGGCCGAGCTTAGAGCACGGCCAGGCGGAGAACGTTTCGCGGAGAGCTTCATCGTGATCAAGAAGCATGGAACTTGGCAGCACTTTGTGATCTTGTCACGCGATCTCTGGCTTCGGTGTCATCTCTACAATGGCGGCGGCAGCATCTTATCCGAGCCGGTGAAGAGTCTCAATCTAACTACCATCAGCATGTTGATGATAGCCAGAAGAGCCGAATACTTTCAGGGACCCAATGCTGTGTTAACGAGAGCGATGTAGACCTTCTCGCGCCGGTCGTATGGGCCGTGCAAGTACGAGCGTCTGTCATACACAAGCATTGAGGTGCCTTTCGGGGTCATCGCTCTGAGCACAGGTTGGTGTATATCGATGTACATGAGTGAACGGCGTCTATTGGAGGCGATCGCGGAGAGACGCCGGTACAGCGCCTGCCGGAAAGAGCTTCGATGTCTGTGCCAAAGCTCAGCTCTTCACGGCCCATATACAATTTTTGCGATGTCGTACCTCACGCATAGCCTCCTCACCGCCAACATCCCACCCACTCTCCGCAACCGGCAACATCGCCTCACCTACCAACCTCTCCAACAACTGATCAACACCGAACAGCGGACCAGAGTACTTCCGCCACCGCAGGATGTTCGCGACTAACTTCCGATGATGCGCGAGTAATCGACGTCGGGCGGGTATCGCGTCAGTGTTGAACTGCGATTCGTTGAGATCGAGGTGCGCATGCTGAGAGGTGATCGTGTCTTCGACGGCCGTTTGGAAGACGGATACGATAGCCTTGAGGTACATCTGCAACAGAACACCCATAGATCAGCGCCTCGTCCGAGGATAAGATCCAAGTACGCCCATACCTGAAACTTCAAATCCATCTTACTCATGCTCATCTCCAGCTCCTCCGCCAGCTCGGCCGCCCTCCGCACATGCCTCGCCGACCACGGATCGAACCCTCCGTTCTCGATCACCTTCGCGATACGCGGTATAACCGCCGTGGTGATCATAGACGTCGCCAGATCGCCGCCGTCGACGTTTTCGGATTCGTCGGAGGGTGATGCGCCGGCTTGGGAGTATTCGTGGAGTTGGGCGTACCATTTGAAGTCGTCCAGGCCTTTCGAGCTCTACAAACCGAATCATCAGTCAGTACGCGTCCTAGCAGGTTATCGAGAACTCACGTCGAAGGGACTCCATCCAACGATCTCCAATCGCACCCAGAACTCCCAAGCGCCCACGAGCCCAAGCCCACCCCAAGCGCCCGCATACACGTCCCTGTACTTCTCCCTCCACTCCCCGAACCACTTGCTCAGGCCCTTACTGGGATCCCTGAACTCGTCCGCGCGCACATCCGCGAGGATATCATCGCGTTTCTCAGCGAGTGATGCCATGGCGGCGCGGTAATCAGATGCATCAGAGGGCGGGAGGGACGCGTCTGTCGAATATCCTTCGTCATTCTCGACGCGTCGGTTGGGCGCTTGTTGACGCTTCGTGCGTCGCGCAGCCCGCGCTTCGCGCCGATCACGTCGGGCGGCCGCGGGGTTCGCCTTGGGAATGATGCGCCCGAGCTCGTCCAACTCTTCCGGCTCCGTATGCGCCGCCACAGGTAGTGCGCCGAGGAACGCCGTCAGATCATCCGCGTCGTCCGTCCGTCGACGCTGCGCGACCATATCGCGGCGCTCGCGCAGGATGGAGAGGTACTCCTCCTCGACTTTCTCTAACCGCGGATACTTCTCGTCCAAAAACGTGGCGACGTTCTCCATCCACTCCCTGAACGACGCGAACCAGCTCCGCTTCTCTTCCGCGCGCGCGACGATATCGCGCAGCTCGGCTTCGCGCTGTTCGAGGCGCGTTTGTTCGTCGGAGAGGGAGGTGAGGGTGGAGGTGTTTTGGGCGTGCGAGGTCGTTAGGGCGGACATTGTTTGGGAGAGGCGGGACATTGCTGCGTCGAGGGTTGGTATCGGGGTAGGTGGTGGGACTGGTATTATACGTCAGTATACGATTTTGAGAGTACAAAGTGATGTACGTACTAGGTGCAGGTTTGTACACGGGTTTTGCGGGTGTGGCGCGGTCCTCGCCCGCCGTAGTGAAGCCCCCGCGTTGTCGTTGCTTGAGCTCCCATTCCTGCGTCTCCTCGTCGTCTTCACTGTATATTCATAAGTCATATGTCCACAATATATGCCCGAGTAAAACTCACACGTCCGCAATCATCTCGGACATGACCTCTCTTCGCTTGCTGGCCTCAACCTTCTTCGCCTTCTTGCCCAGCGCTATACGCTCCTGTGCCGAAGTGAACTCAGAAAACTCTACATAGTCACTAGTCAGTTCTGCAGAGTGAAAGATGATCTGATGGTACACACCGTCGTCACCCTCGCCCAAATCGTCGTCCTCACGCATCAGGCGACTCTCCGGATGCGGGCCCTGCCACTCCTCCGCCCTCTTCGTGACCGAAAGCGAGATAAAGTCCTCTCCACCAGGCTGCGCGCCCGTCTTCCTGAGCCTCTCCCTCTTCTCCTTGGCATCCTTGATCGACGTCTCGGTCGGGATGAGCGTCTCGTCTGCCGGTTCTGCAAGTAATAGAGAGAGTTCAGAGTCAACATCGTACGCGGGTGATGAGAGCGAGCGCGCCATTTTACCGAGGGGGATCATCGATGCGTCCTCTTCAGTGAGACCGTCGAGTGGGTCTATGGACATCGTCACGTCTTCGTCTTGCACAGGTCGGGGTCGGCTCGAGGTGCTCGCGCGGAGCTCGGACAGGTATTTCGCATCGTATACCGGGCGAGAGTCCGAGATACTGGCTTGGTTAAGGTTCGAGGGCGGCCTTTGTTGTGTTCATAAGTAGCTACAATAGTGGTGTATTCGGCAGTACGCACTGAGTGGTAGCCGGGTGCTGTCCCAGACTGAGCTTCTTGCTCAACGCCGACTTTTTGATCTTGAACGCTTCCCCATCTCCTTCCTGGAAGTGCTGTGAGTATACATGTGGCTTATACAGAGTGCGTGAGAACACACCTCCTCGTCCGCTCCAAAGCTCAGGTTCTTCTTGGGCTTATTCCGTTGTTTGGCCTTGTTCTTGACCTTCGCCGCGAGTGCAGCGGGGGACGGTTCAGGCTCGACGTCGGCCGCATCTTGAGGTGTAGCAGTTGGCGGAGGGTCTTCGATGGTTCGTGCACGTGTAGTAGCTTTAGACTTTGTGCGCTTGAAGACGATGGGGGGATCGGACATGGCGAATGCGAGCAACTCGCGGACTCACTCTCCCGGCCCCGCGTCACTTGCAGACGCGTGACGACACGCGTCGAGGCGCGCACATGTGAGTTCCTCTACGGGACCGGAATATTTGTAGCAGTGATCTCAGTGGCAAGATGATTATATAGCAGCAGTATAGCTATTAAGAGAGGGATAAGCGACATCTAGGTGCGGGTTGTCGTTCGCAGGCTTCATCTACTCCGTAAAGAAGGCCTTCAACCACCCAGCCTCGTTCTCCATCTCCTCCATACTCCTCGGTTTCCTATCCTCATCGGCGTCCATCCTCAGCGGCTCAACCTTCCCCTTGCCAACGGCGACCTCATCGTTCTTCAGACCGGCCTCATGCTTCTCCAGTGCGGGGTATATGTCATCGTTGTGGGAGAAGATGTCGCCGGCGGCTTTTCGAGGGAGGAGGTGGAAGTGGACGTGGGGTATTGATTGACCTGCTGCACTACCATCCTATGTCCAGTGTCAGTGCAAGCGCCTTGTAGTATCAAAAGGATGAGAACGCACCTGGCATGCGACGGTGAGCGCATCAGCGCCGTACGCCTTCTCGATCACGTTCCCAACACGTTGCACAGAGCCCATGAGTGCAGCCAGCTCATCCGCGTTCAAGTCCCTCAACCTCGGCACTGGTCTCGCGGGGCACACCAACACGTCTTCAGGATTCGTCCAAGGCAGCCGGTCAGCGTTGAGCGCGCACGTTCAGGCGGTCCTACGCACGACCGGGCACGAGCGGTTTCAGGTTCACGATGGCGAATGTGAGCGAGGTCCGGTGGAAGACTTGGCGGGACACGTCTATGGTGGAGAAGAGAAGGTTCATGATGGTCACTGGTCAGGATGAAGTCGGGGCGCGCGTGTGGCGCGCGTCAATACCTTGGCTCTTGACGCCATCATACCCGCTTGCCGCGAGAAGGATACGCTGCCACCTCATCTCAACCATGCCATGCATCCAAGCGCGCTCTCGATGAAGACGTTACCTCAAGTCATTGCTATGTTCAACTTCCCGCGCGAGTCGTAGAGCTCCCGCTCGTTTACATAAACGAGCACGGTGGGGTCTACGACGATCATAGCGCGCAGATATGAACCTCAGTCAGCTGTGTGCTATCTTCCAGCTGTCTCAACCCATCTCTTCCGCTATCGTCTATAACAGCGCTCATGCCCTGCAAGGACTCGGCTCATTCCGAAATTCTCCGTGCTCGTAACGAGTGCTGGCCTCCTGGTGCGCGCGGGTACGACACACTGGCGGCCTTCCAGGAGTGGGTGTCGGGGTTGAAAAGCGCACGAGTTCGGTTCATCCGTGAGCAGCCGCTTCGAGCCGGGGAGCACTTCGCCCTCAAGGTCGTCAGGCTTGTAGTCCCGTCGAACCCTCAGCACAGACGGCCGATTCCGGCATGTGCCCAAGTTGCTGCCGCTACGATCACGATCACCCTCCTAGAGCCATTGGCGGGAACTTCCGTCTCAGGAGACTCGCCGGTCAGTCGCGTGTGGCTAGCCAGTACTGCTACTGGCGACCGGGTAGTGGCAAAGTTCTACTTCCCCTCCTTGTTTATACCGGAGGAGCAGTATAACCGTCAAGACAACGACTTCATTCTCCCACGCCAGTGTGCACTCACGGAGGAAGTGGCGTACAATATTCTCCAGTCGGCACAGGGTGCATGGTTGCCGTATTACCTCGGGCGGAATGAGGTTGGTCATCAACGCGGTGCAGCTATTGTTCTTATTCTCACGCCCTTACAGGTGAACTTATCTCACGGCGAGATGGCAGACGTTGCTCTTTTCGAATATATCAACGGCCGTTCTCTACTCGATCATAAGCATGCTCAACCTGGCGGCATCACGCACAAGAAGAGTGACGATCCAGAATCGCATTTTCAAGTGGTGCATCGGCAGCACCAGAAGTGGGTATGCAGCATTCAAACTCTATATGCACGGAGAGCTCACGCTAGGTTGACGGCCTGCAGTTCAAGCGCTTGAGGGAAATCACACATGAGATGCACGACGCGGGCGTGACACACTGCGATCTATACGGGCGTAACATTCTAGTGCCTGAGAGCAACCTGAATGATCTCGTCTTTGTTGACTTTGAGACGGCGCGAGACGATATGGAAGGCGGCGGTAACGACCTGCGCAACGCTGTGTTAGGGTTTACCTGCTGCGATGACCACGTGGATGAGTTGTACTCGTGGTGCGGGAAGAACAAGTTGGATGTACTGGAATGGTACCTCAACTTTCCTACGATCACTAGTGATCTGTATTGGTTCGCCGGCTCGGCGAGGAATCGATGAAGATTGACCCATTCACTCATGCAAGCTGTAGAGCTCCCATCGTTACATAAACGAACACGACGGGGTCCGTGACGATCATGGCGCGCAGACATAAGTACGCACTGATCAGTGAACCTATCACCGGCGACCACCCCTTCTCCCCCAATGCCATGGGCGTATTCAGACGCTCCGAGACTCCCCAGACTCCTGCGATTCTCGAGGAAGGCTGGCCGCCCAACGTGAAGACCGACGAAGCGGCATTCGCTTGGTGGCAGCAGGAATTGCGCGAGCAGCGCGCTCTCTACTCTCAGAAGCCTACACTCGTTGCAGGGCGCGTCCTCGGCGGTCCCTTTACCATCAAGCAAGTCCCCGCCGTTTACGACGACGCTTTACCCAGGCGGGCCGTGCCTACGTGTGCTAAACAAGCGATGGAGATCGAGATCACCCTTGTGCACCCTTTGCGAGAAACAGAACCGGGGGACAACCGCCCTTGTCAGACATGGCTAGTGAGGACCACCACAGACGATGTCCTGGTGGCAAAGTTCTACTGCGCTTTCTTCTTTGTCCCCTCGGTCATGTATTGCCTATCCTTTGCTGAGTACCGTCTGCCCCACCACTGCGCTCGCACGGAAACGATGGCGTATGAAGCTCTATCGTCTGCACAAGGGCGATGGCTTCCTTACTTCTTAGGGCGACACGAGGTGATTGCTGTATCAGCTCTCACCGTCCCAGGTTACTCACCTTGAATTATTCTTTCTGTCTAGGTCAAATTCGGCCACGGTTTTGCAATAGACATGATCCTGCTAGAGTATATCCCAGGGGAGACGCTCCATGCATTCAGGTCTGAGCATCATCTACTGAAGGGCGGGGGGAACTATGTCCAACACGATCCTGAAGATACGCGGTATAACACCCTGTCCGAGGACCATTTCAAGTGGGTAAGTACCGATGAGGTATTCAATACTGTCCTTTGATCTTATACACACGCAGTTCTCATGGATCCGGACCTTCGTACAAGAGATGCACCAGTCCGGGATCACACACGGAGACCTCAATACGCGCAATATCATCTTACACCAGCATGTTGAACCAGAAGGTTCATACATGTTGGTTATAGTCGACTTTGAGCAAGCGCGCGATGATCGTTTGCACGGTCGTGAGCTACGCGTCACCACTCAGGGACTCGTCTGCTGTGACAAACATGCCAGGGAACTCGCGAAACGGTGCAATGAGGAGGGTATCCCAATTACCGACTGGTATGTCAATTGGCGTGGTATCCATGTGTAGTATGTGCCCCGTAGTTCATTGATCAATACATTTTCACGCCCGTTCTCTATGAATGAGGTATTAATGACAATTGTCGCAGCGATGATTATATGAGTTCAAGATCCCAATATATCTCCCATACTCTCCACAAACTTCTCGTAGTCCCCCTTCTCCTTCTGCACCTGCTTCGGCTCCATCCCTCCGAGCTGTCCCCTCAACGAACTCATCAAATCCGGTCCCTTCGCCTGCAACACCTCCCCCCCTTCCACAGCTTCGACGCCCGGCGCGGCATTCACGGCTCCTCCCTTCGCCACCGCACTGGCCTTCTTCTTCCTGATAGCAGCCGGAACGAACGCCGTGCTCTCCTTCTTGAAATCACGCAACTCCGGCTCGGCGCTGATGACCGCTTGCACTGGCTTCGCGTTCGGGTTCTTGGGGAGAGTTGGGGGCGGAGGTGGTAGCGTACGACCTGGCGGAGGTCCAGGACGATGTTCACGCATCTGATGTGGCGAGGGGCCGTTGCGCGGGAAGAAGCCGGGCGGAGCAGCAGCGCCAAAACCAGGTGGCGGGACAGCGCCGCTTTGGAACCCGGGCGGAGGCGGAAAGGGTGGCATACTTCCCGGAAAGCCGGCCGGCGGGGGAGGGACACCAGGTGGTGGGGGAAGAACGCCCATTGGCATACCGAGAGGCGGGGGCGGGAAACCGCCTGGGAAGCCAGCTGGTGGGGGTGGCGGCATGGTGGTCGAGAACCCAGGAGGTGGTGTTGGATAAGCGGGCGGTGGTGCGGGAAATCCGACAGGTGGCGGCGGAGGTGGGAAGCCCTGCGGCACAAAAGCAGGCGGTTCTGAAGGGGGAGGGCCAGGTGGTAGAGGCGGCATTCCATTCGGGAACATTGCAGGTGGTGCTATTGCCGCTTGTTCTGCTATATGTCAGTCAACAGGATCATCATACTCGGGTGATTGAACGTACGTGCTTCGCCCGGAGGCGGTCCTTCCGGTAATGGGATGTCGTCGTCATCATCCTCGGGTGGAGGACCTTCAGGCATGATGATATCGTCGTCTGACGCAGCTACAAATCCCATGAGAGGATATACTTTGCGAGGCATACGAGTGAACAAGTACCTTCATCATCTTGCTCCATCTCATCAGGTCGAAGAGCTACGCGCCAAGAAACGTCAGTACATGAGCATGTGCGACAAAAGGTATACGCACGTCTCTCGACGTAAGGCATGCCCGGGGGTGGAACACCAAGAGGGTTGAACACCGGGTCGTAGTATATACTACGTTCCGGATGCAAGGGTAGACCGTCCTTGTCAAAGAGCTTCCTCGTGCGGTTGACATGCTTGCTAGAGCCTTCCTCCTTGTTGTCCTTGCTCTCGCCGTCCGGTCGTCGAGAACGATACACGAGCTTGCGCTGCTCAGGATGTTCCGCGACATATTCTTCCTTCTTCTTGTTTATTTTCTCGAGCTCAGCCTGGGCCTCCTTCAGACGCGCCTGGTCGGCCGGGGAGGGTTCGGCGAGCCCTGACAAACGCTCGATTTCATCCTGAAGATCTGAGGATATTGAGAACGCGTACGAAGAAAGTAAAATGCAGAGACGTACCAAATGTGTCCTTCTTCACGAGAGCGAAGTCGCGAGCTTTAGAGCGCGCATCCTTGTTCTACTGCACGAAGGCACGGTCAGAGACGCGTGCTACGAGATGAAGTCATTCCACGCACCTTTTTGAGTTCTTTCTTCCTCTGAGCTTTACCTGATAAACTGTCAGCAGACTATATTTCACCTTGAGGAATGCTATTATACTCACGAAAGGCGTCCGCCGGGTTGGCAGACTTGCCCTTGGCCATGATGGTGAACGTTTACCGGAAGACGCGACTTTGCGCGCGGAACCGTTGCAGTCGGCGGCGCACGTGGATACGGGAGTCAGGCGCTCGGGCTCGCTCGCAGGAAGAGACAGGCTTCGTCCTCAACCACCACTTGGTCTCTTCCTTACGGGAGGACCTATATCTTTGTTTTACATACCTTTACATCACGATCAATGGCGACGCAGGGCCGGAACGCTGTAACGGGCAACTCGCGCAAGGCGTCGAGCAAGCCCGAGTCCCTCAATCACCTCCTCAACTTCACCCTCCCTCCGCGCCAAACCCAACAGCTCCAGCCTATACCGAGGCGTAGCAGGAAGACTGGCAACCAACATGGGATATGGAATAAGGAGCGTAAGTGACCTATGCGCCTATCTATCCCTCGCGTACCCACGAGGAGCTCGCGATCTCAGAAACAGCCTGGGCTGACTGGCTGTTTAGGGTTTATAATGGCACAGTACCGTTTCGTCATGAACCCTGAGGGTGATTATACCGTGCACTTTGCGGATCCAGACATGTGCGCACGATCATTGTCGCTATCGCATTGACTGCTATACTGACATCATCGTTCATAGATACTTTCAATGGCAAGACATACTGCAGATTATAATCCCCCGCAACTCGGCTCTAGCTTCGGCTACCGGCGCTGAAGGTCATTCGCACGAGGAGGGGCATACGACTTGTCCTATCTGCCTATCTCCCCCTACGGCGCCTCGTATGACGAAATGCGGACATGTCAGTCTTCTTCTTCCATGCGGCCTGTCAGACTTTGCCCGTGCTATGAATGATCATGCTCGCGATCATCATAACTGTCTCATTTGTGCATATATCGATGACCTGCTTGCGTTGTTACCTCTGAGAATCACCGCGCGCCGCTATGAGCTGACATGCATCGCAGGTATTCTGCTTTTCATGCATCCTGCACTATCTCAGCACATCGGATAATCTCAAATGGGTCCGTTGTCCGATCTGCTTTGACTCGGTCAACGAACGACAGCTCAAGGCCGTCAAATGGTTCGACGCACCTTCACCTCCTGAGGACCGTGATGCGCCCGCCGCCTCCTCATCCTCCACCGGGAGTTATGCAGGTGACGGCGCACCGCGACCGGGAACAACACTGCACATGCGCTTGATGGAACGTCCGCAGATAACTACGCTCGCGCTACCCCGGAGTCCGACCTGGCCCTCCGACCTTCTCCCGCCTCATCAGGCGCCATGGCACTTCCTACCGGACATTCACACCTTTTCCAAGTTCATGCTCGCGACACCTACCTTCCTTACCGAGGCTTTACAGGCCGATCTACGAGATCTGGCAGCCGAGAAGCGCAGCATGTTAGGACTGGGCGATACGGTTTCGGCCGCCTTCATCGACGCGGCCGAGCAGCGTTTGCATGACCAGATAGCGAAGGCAACCGCACTGGATACAGAGCTCCTGCGGGCATCGGTCGAGCGCGCTCTGGCCATCCAGCATGACATCGAGGAACGTGCTGCACTCAACAAGCGGCGTCTGGCAGAGCAGCAACGACCCTCTACGCCAGCTACAGAAGATACACCGGAAGTCGTCACCCCCACACAACGTGGTCCACGTCAACGAAGGAATATAAATCCGCCACCGCCGAGTACGCAGACGTACTACTACTACCAGGCCTCATCCGGCGCACCCGTCTTCCTTCACCCCTTGGATATCAAGATCCTGCACTCGCACTTCGCCGGCTACACGTCCTTCCCAGACGCGATCACCGTTCGCGTGGAGAACACCGCCGAGGGCTCGGTCGACGCGGATCTGCGGAAACGCTGCAAGTACTTGGGCCATTTACCAGAGGGCGCGGACGTCGTATTCGTCGAGGCAGACTTGTCAGATGTTGTCGGGCAGGATGGGCTGAGGGCGTTCGAGGGTCCGCTCAAGGCGCGCAAGTCCAAGCGTGAGAGCAAGGTCAAGAAGGATGATCGCGCGCGTGTGCGTGCAGAAGAGCGTGAACGCGAGAAGTTCGCAGAGGCGAACTGGAGGCAGACCGGGGTGTACATCCCAGCCGTGCGGGCGCCTTCACCCGTTGGGTTTGAGGAGGAGTCGACTGAGCCCGCGGTCAGCGCATCACCGCCTGTTGTCAGCGGTGCCTGGGGTGCGAGGAGTTTCGCGTCGACGATGGCTGCTCCTGCGGTCAGGAGACAGCAGCCAGAGCATGAGGCGGATGAGTGGGAGCTGGATGCGGCGTGGCATGAGCTTGAGGCTCGGTCACTTGGAGGGAGTGCGGTCAGCAATGGAGGTGGCGGTAGGAAGAAGCGTGGGAGGCAGGGCCAGAGCTTGGTTGTGCTCGGGAATGGACCTGGCAGGAGGCGGTGAGGGCCTGCATATATATATCTCTTCGAGCCTCATGGGAACAGACACGTATAACATACTGCATCTCTAGAACGCAAATGTACGAATTGTATAGTAGCCATTCCGAGTTCGAGATGTATCCGGCAATGCAGATAGCCGCGTGGGGGTATTCTCCACAGCGGTCGATCAGCACGCACATTGTCAATCAACGCTTGACCGGAACGTCGACCTCCGAGGCGTATACTCATCTCGTCTTCATGTCGCCTGGTTCATTAGATCTCATGCCCCCGAGACTGTCGCTGATCGTACCCTGGAGGTTTCTGCTCCAGGCTCATTCCCTGCACCCACCCCATCTTCTCTATCCCGACAACAAGGAAATGGGTGCAACGGTCATTGCCCTCTTGATGTGTACTCTCGTCTCCCGAAGGATACATAACTCGACACGTCCAATCACAAGACAACTTGTTTATATTCATGTGGCTTTTTGGCTTTCCTGTTGGACTCCCAGTTGACACAATCAAACAAGGCGAGATGGCCGAGCGGTCTAAGGCGCCAGACTAAGGATCTGGTCCGAAAGGGCGTGGGTTCGAATCCCACTCTCGTCAATCTACTTTTGCTTACTTGCTTCCTTCGTGCACAACCCTCGGAGTTCAAGTTGTCTTACGATTGGATTTCGCATCCTTTTTCTTACACATTGGAGGTGCCTTCCAGTAACTAAAGAAATGCTGAACTACTGTGATGCCCTAAGAAACAATACTCTGAAGAAAGGAAGAAAGGAAGTATCGCAGCCGTTTCAAGGCGAGATGTAGTGTCGCAAAAAATATCTAGACTTGGCCAAGCGAGCGTGATGACTACGCGGGTTCGCTGGATGACCGGAAGCGAACACTCTGTAGGCAGGCCGTGGTGGGCTGCTGCCCAGCTCGTGGTCAAACCGTCGCCAACTGGTGGCCAACTGGTGGTCAAGTCGTCGCCAACACGTGGCCGCCCCGGAGTGTCCGGCCCGAAATGGGTTTCCGCGCCAGCTAAGCCCTCCATACGCTATATAACCCGTGGCGTAAGCCCTACGGAGTGCTAAGGCGCTATCGTGGGCGCATACGTACCGGAGAGAGGGTTCAAGTAGTTCTCGAACACTACTGGCCTCAGACCCTTGTAGTTGGCCATCACTTGACCACCACTTGGCCATCACTTGGCCACGCGGCGGCGACTGCTTGAAGCCCGACACGCCAACTTGTGTTCGCCTGACATCGGCATCCCAGTGGTCTTGGTTACAGAAGTGACTTGGCCACCGTTGGCCACCCGTGAGCAAGTCTAGCAAAAATTTGCGACAAGATTGACATCCCCGAGATGAGCAGCTCGTCTGGTTTGAGGTCAGCGATTGTTTGCATCAGAGCGACATGACAACCCAGATGGAGGCCACTCACCAACAGTAACACCTGTGAACTCGACGGGAACCGCGACGTCCCATAACTGTGTCAAGACAGCCTTCCCAGGACCATCAAGACGCCAGACGCCAATAGATTCCGCCCCTTCCATGAGCATGTACATGAACTCCTGACCCTGGATCTCGGCCACGACGGCTTCATTAGGTCCCAAGCCGGGAACGTCGTACTGACGAACGAGCGTGGCGTTATTGTTCTTGTCGAGCGTAACCTCGTTGATCTTGTCACTCAACAAGTCGGAGATGAAGAACGATCCGGTCTTGGGCGCGTGGACGGACCAACAGTTACCCTTGTTGTTCGGGAGGTCAATGGGTTTGAAGACTGCACCCCCGGGACCAGCCGTCAGATCGATGACGACTCCCCCGTTCGTGGCATCGGCGCCAACGTAGACGAGACTTCCAGCCTTCTGGCTCAAGCTGAAGATCAAGGAGCCAGCCGTATCAGTGCTGTTGACCTGGAAGGGTGTCTCCGCGATGGTGCCGTTATCGGCGAGCAACCAGACGCGGATGTATCCTGGGCTATTCTCGAGGTCTGTAGGAAGGCCTTTGGCGACGGCGATGATTCCGCCCTGGTCTCCAGTGAAGAGAATTTGCGAAGCAGTACCGG